CGGCCGTGCTTCAGTTCAGTCTGACGACGTCGCTTGAAGTCCTCAACACTGCCATCCGCCGTGAAGCCGGCCGGATCCCAAAACCTCATTTGTGATAGACGATGTCGCTGTGAGGTTTCTCTTCTGACTTGAGACATCTTGAGACTACGCTAGCCAAAATGATCGGACTTGAGAGGATTCTAAGCAGATTCTAAGCAAGGAACCCAACAGGTGCTTGCACACCCAACTCGTTCTCGAAAGCGCTGAGCGCGACCAGCTGTGGCTTGATGCTGAGTGCTTTGCGGCCACTAGCAGTCAAGGCTGCAACTGCCACACCGGCCACGGCAAGAGAGGCCGTTTGGCTCGGTGCCTGTGACCAGAAGGCCGATCAATCCACTGGAAGATGTGAGACAAAATCAAAGACGTCCATAGACAAAGAGAAGCTATTATGATATTCTGATTCTCAACTCGTGACTGTCATGTTGCCAACTCTGCGGAATTCACGTCCACCATCTTCCACTGTGCACCCAATACACCCATTTGCAAGGGACCTAAAGCAACTAAAGATTTTGCGGGCAAGTAATAAACATATCATCCACGAGCTACAGTAGTCAAAACAAATGCCTGCAGGCTGGGTGTCGATGCGGTCGACGTTGCAACAGTGGCTCGAAGGTTGCCGGTTGCAGGCGCTGAGACAAAACTGGCACCACTGAAGAGTGCGGCTGCGCCCGCGGCTGCGGCAACAGTGGTCCTGGAAGTAGAGGCCATGCTTTGAAAAAGTGTTTGTCCTGGAGACTTCGGCCAAAAATGAGAGCGTTTCGCTCGCACAGCCAGGAATTAAAAGGGCTTGAGCCTGAAGGGCAGGAAAAGTCACTGGTAGCTTGAAGAAACAAACAAAACATGACCACGTGTCAGGTCCAGTCCGTTGATCAGCTTTGTATCCAGGCAACTGTGGCGGTGCTCAAACGGTCTAGTTCTCCATGTTTGTAGCTGGATCATAAGCAGTCTAGCGATGAGCGAGATGTTCTTAAATCTATATAATGATGCAAACGCAAACGGGTTCACACAGAAATCAGTGCAACATCTTTGGTTGCACCGACTGGTTCCCTTCTCCCCAACTTGGGCCCCCACTCACCACGGCCACCACTTCTGCTGAGGCCATGAAAGGCCCCTGGCATCCACATGTCAAAGGTCGATCGGTGCGGGAAAAGGCGAAGCTTGGAACTGTCGCCTCAATCGGCTTGAGAGCGATCTCTTTTTGACACTAAGACCTACACATCTGAAGTCTCAAAGAATTGTCAAGCCTTGAGACATCCTGGCATACCGGCATACTGAATGCTTTTGCAAAGAGGTCTGAATGTGTTTTTCAAGGTTGGACCAAATAGTTCTTGAAGCATGTCGATGTATGTTGCTGCTTTGGCCGGACCACCAATCACAAGCAAATCTAGAGAGAGAGGAAGAAATGTAAAAGAAATAGTAAAGCAACACATCAAATTTGCAAAATCACATTGAACTTCTTCCCTCCTTTCCAGGCCTGCACGTCTTCCCACTTAAAGGGTGGCTGTCGCCAACCCTTCCGGATGCCGATGTGCTCAAAGAAGAAGTTGTAAGCCGCGAGGATCTCTTGTGAACCTGCTCAGTTCCATCTAAAGGCTCCTCCCTGTGAACCCCTTAGAAGAAAACCCAAGCAATAACATGGTTCAAGAGATCCTGAGATGTACCTTGTGATATTTTCTACGAGGTACTACACGGTCTAAGCGGGTGTCCAGTTACAGTTACAAAGGAAGGTGATCATGTTCGTAGCAGCTCCCAAGCAACTGTACGGCCTGCAGGGTGGCCCCTGCAGCTTTAACTTGCAAGGTGCTCAGTTATTCTACACTCCGGTGAAGGTGAACAGTTGATGTCGCTTTGCAAGGAACAAACATCTCAACCTTATTCTACACTCCGGTGCTTGAAATACTTGAAGAACACCATGAAGAAGGACCGTAACCCTCAGTCGATGGCACCGAACAAAAGTCAGGTCCCCCGACTGTCCCGGATCCAGTCGCTGTTCAAACTCCACCAGGCCAAAGGAGCCTCGGCGCCACGACCCAAAGAACGTTGGGCCACGGCGCCACAGTCCGCCACGGTGGCATCCCGATGTAACCTATAAGACTATAAGATCAAGGCCTTTTTGGACTTAGCTTTGTTTCAGGTGAAGGGAGTACTTGCTCGTCTGGCTGCGGCTGGAACAAACACATCTGGTGTTCGTGTTCGTCGACGCACTCGGATCCGATACGTTCGGCAACAAGATCGAATCCAACCCCTTGGGCTCCAACATCTTCGGGCTCCACAGTTTCTGCCTTTCATTCAAAGTGCCCCCCAGGACTTGGGGAAGAATTGGCCAGAACTGCTGATGTCAAGTTGACACTTGACACCATCTGCCTCCCAAACTACATTAGAATCTGCGAATTAGGAAACTCCTACAGGCAAGCTGTGGTTTGCCGAACTGAAGAAACATCCTGATCATCCTTTGCCTTTGTGGTGACATCTCTTGAACCACTCAGAAGCGATGCCAAGTCGATCTTGTGCCTCCAAAACCGGATGATACTTTGAACAGGTGTCTTAACTGAGCCCACACATCCAAACACCTCAGCAAATGGCTGTTGTTTTGGAGGCCATCGCTAGTAGGTTGGAGGCCATCACGGTCTTAGTCTTCACAGTCTTTGACCTCTCGGCCTGGTCAACAGTTGGTCCAGTCTCAGTGGAGGCCTGGGAGGACGCCTGGGAAGGACTCGAGAGTTACGGTCTGCAAGGGTGGCCACCCGTGGCGCACAACTTCCGTATACGTTCACCATACCCGTTGGAAATCGACGTACGAGAACACAATCCGACTGAAAAAGCCTCACCACTCACCACTTGGCTGTGCATTGTTTGTGCTTTTGTTTTTCACGAAAGAAGTCACAAGTCTTTGGCTCCGAAACTTCTTTGGCACTGCAAAGCTCACAAGTCTCAAGGCCAAATGAAAGCGAAGACTTCTTCTTCCCACAACCTCCCACATCGTTCAGAGTTCCAGGTACGTCGCCGCACCAGGACATCATGAGCATGTCTACAACACATGGCGGATATATTTGGAACAGCGTTCAATGTCATCGGAGCTGATCTGCAACATGTATTTCTTTCAAGCACCTCCTGTCTTTCGGGAACCAAAAGGAAAGCAGAAAGGTGTTCAAATCGCCTTAGGGGTCTGCAAGTGTGACCAGTGCTGAGTGTTGCCTCTTAGCTTGGATTCAAAGTCTAGAAGCCTTCAGCTAGAAGGAAAGCTAGTTGCTTGTAGCACTGGATTCTTTCAATTTCTTGCAGTAGTTGGCAAGCATCATGAGGACAGCAGCGCGGCATCTCCACAGAATTCAGACCCCATAGAGCTTCTGTATCAAATATCAAACGATGCTGAGAGAGAAGAGGTTGCATCCTTGAAGCAAAATATATAATCCTCCCCTAATCAATGGGATTGTTCGTCCTGGCTGCTGTCCACGCAGGTGGAGGACCTTTTGTTTCAACTCAATGTGCTCAGGATTAGGGCAACGGCACCTCTAAAAACCTCACCGTGTTGTCTCTTTGGCCTTCATGAGAAGATTGCGTCATGGAAGTGGCCCCTCTGAGGCTCTTTCTCCAATTCGGACCCATCTCCGATCTGCCGAGGTGCTGCTGGTTGTTGCGTGGCTGCCTTGCATGAGAGACTCCCAGTTGCGGTTGGTCCATCAATGACCAGTTCTGCCAATCTCGGACTATCCAGCGATACAGCAGCGAAAAATGCTAGAGCCTACCAACAAGTTGTGCGATTTCACTGGCTTGAGAAACAGGATCCCGACATGAAGGACCATTGTGTTTGTCGATGCGTCTGGACTCCCTTCAGGCCCATAGAACTCCCCATATCTCCCCATCATCAAGAAGCAATACCTTCAGTGGCCATAGTCCTGCCTCCGGCTCAGTCGTTTTTGCAGGCTCTGCCTTCGGCGCTTTCGGAGCAGCCTGAGCACTTCTCAAGCAATGTCTGAGCCCAAATACACTGAAAATTGCTCCCTTTAACCAAACAACTCCATTGTAGTGAGCATGTCCTTCTTTCCACATCATCCGGGGTGGGTGAAACTGCAAAATCATGTAGGTTGAGCAGTAGAGACCGTAGGTCCTGCTTTTATCCAACAAGTAGAAGAGTCATTTCAGGAGTTCAAGTCATATCGGGTGTATCTCTTTAAATATATATATATATATATACACGTAATATTATATATATATATATTCTCATGTACATGGTTTCACCATGTTTCACCATGTTTCAGCTCCTCAGCTTGGTATGATTCCCGAGCCTGTGTGGCTGTGCCAGTCACCGCCTGATGCGTCATCCAAAAAGCGGCTGGCCCCACAACCCGGCAGAAATGACAACAAAAAGAAAGGTCAGCCCCTCAGTGGCAGTGGGGTGCTGGTCCTGGTGAAGGGTGTTCAATTAGGATGAATTTGGGGTGAAGCGAGAAGCTCCCAATCTGAGTCTTGGAAAGGACCAGAGTTGGAGACGGACCCCTAGAAAGACCTTCTCTATCCTCCACAGACTCCCTCGGAACACATGGTGCTGCCATTTTTCCCTGCCCCTCTGTTCCCTTGGGAGAAAATGCACTGAAATGCAGGGCTTAACCTCAGAAACCATCAAGTGTTGCGGCTCACCAATCGAAACCTCTTTGATCCTCTTTGTATGGCTACACCTTCATCCATCACAAGAAAGTCAATTGCACATGTCTACCCTGGGTCACAAGCTTTCAACCTGTCGAAACGCTTCCCGTGGACCACTTTTGATGCAGCACTTTCATGCAACACTTTCAGTCCGAACTGGAGCAGGGCTTCAATCTTAGCTGGTCCCTGCATCTTCCGGAAAAGTCTTCCTAAAGTCCAGGTTTTTCAGCATAATCTTCCTTCCTAAAGGCTGTTCCCGATTCAGGCAGCTACTACGGGCTCCTGGTCGTACTACTAGGAGCAACGACGCTACTAGGGGCCCCTGGCATCGCTACTAGGAGCAAGGACGCTACTAGGGGGTTTGTCTGCCACAGTTTTTTTTCATGTCGCATCGCTGGGCCTGGTAGCTTGCTGCATACTTAGCCTCACAACAGCGGCACGCCCGAGAGGATTTACACCTTGAAACTATGATGCTAGAAGTTCACTAGGTCATACTAGGTGCCTTTAAACCCCTTTGCACCATGGTCTGCCTGTTTGAGGATGAGTGATTCGTGAGAACCTGTCATGTCAGCCACTCTGTGTATGCCTCGATGCATCTTGTCAAGAAATACCTCGAACACACGTCCGAAACCAATAGAAACTCACCCCCCCGAATGTGCAACCTCCAATATCTTCGCCTCGGAAGAACCACCACAGCCCATGCTGGCAAATGAGTCTATGAGTCTCTTTGTCAGCTGAATGCTGTCGTTATTCTTTGAGATGGCTAGCTAGTGTCACAAGTTCAGAGAAAGTGGTTTTGATAGACGTAGAGAAAGAGCTGTTGACTTGCAGTTCTTGTCAAATTTGACTGTGTAGATGTGGGAAGTGCATCAACTTAGCGACTTAGCGTTTAGTTTATCGACACAAGCGGCCGGCTGCACAACAAATCGAAAGACTTTGCACAGCATGTGGGTTGAATGTGTGTTGGACGGTTTGTTGCGTTTTCAATGGATGGCAAAATGTTTGAGGAAGCACATCTGAAAGCCAAAAGCTACGAGTTGAAGAATGTCTCGGCACCACGTGATGTTTCACCTCACATAAATACCCAAAATAGGATAATCGGATGCAAGGATTGGTGCTCCATAGTGCTCCCTCCTCAGCAGAGAACAAAGAGAAAACAAAACACCAATTGCAACGATACGCCTATGCCCCTTGACGCTGGCATTTAGCTAGCAGCCTGATGTACGCTGTACCTATTAAAGTGCGATCATGTTGCGATCAAGCAGGCTTGCTTGCCTTCCAGAACAATGCTCGGAATGATTCGCTTTACTCTCAAGCAAGCACTCTGCCACTGGATTCACACTGATAGACTTGGAATAACCTAGTGCAATAGTGCAAACAGCTTTGTCGAACCTGCTGCTAATGTACTCAAGCTCTTTGTGCTTGGCGGATGGCGACCCTTCATCCTCTGGACCAAGCGGAAGGGTCGGGTGACGCAGTCTCGGACAGAGTCGACAGAGTTCAGTCACGACCAACCACCGTCACTTCGTTGTGAGCGATCACTTCGTTTTGCCCATCATCTCAAGGCTGCCGTTGGAGTGAAGCCGTAGATAGGTGGCCAGCACTCGGCGTTGAAGATCACCAGCATGTTGTAGTAAATGCCGTTGAGTTTGGCACTTGAAGTGTAGAAATTTCATGCGATGTCCAAGGTTTTCTGCCAACATCGAAGGACGTCGGCCAACAAATCCACTCTCCAAGCGAGAGCCGGCTCAAGACCTGCCGAAGCTGGTTGGACACGAGACTCACGCGAACGACAGCGTTCTTGCGAGACATCCACATTTTTGAAGAAGGATTATGTTGTTTGTCATACAGCAACCCATTTGCTTAACAAAAGCTTCCGTCGAACGGCCCCAACAACAGCTGCCCCTAGCAATCAAATCTGTTCGGTTGATCTCAATGTCAAAAATGGCAAGGCCAAAAACTTTGTCCTTGAGCGCACGCAGCAAGGCTCTGAACATAATAGCTGCTCCCACATATGCCTCTGGTTGCCCCGAGACTCCCCCAAAGTCCCCAAGTCTGTGGAACCAAGGAGGGCAAACCTGACCCCAGCCCCATGGCCTATGACGCCGTCAATCCTCATCAGACTCCGCCAACCTGAGAAGTGATTCGCTTTCTTCTTTGCACGCAGCTTCGAAACAAGCGGCCTAAGCGGTTTTCCGGTATCTATGCAAGGTGTTATCGGGATCTATAAAATGGGGCTCCTCACGGCACGAAAGAATGGTGCAACGGTTTTCTTCATTGTCTGCATTGGGATAGATGCACATTGGAGTCAACCCTTTTGGGCCGCTCAGGCAAACTGGCTTAATATGTATATATATCGTATACGCAGCTCTGGCTTTGAAAAATGAAAGCAAGCAAGCAAGCAAGCCAGGAAAAGAAATTTTGTTCTAATCGAGTGAGATGCGACCATACCCACCCTTCACAGCATGTCTGCTTCCCGGCCCTCGCACCTCTCTATCTCAACCATTTTCCTTCCTCAAAGCAGAAGTCTTTCCTATAGTTGGTTGGCCATCAAGGCCGGAACTCAAGCTCTGTGGCCGACATGGTCAGTTAGCTAATGCCTCAGTGAATCCTGAGATTTAACGTGCGCAGCAATCCCTGCGTCAGTCTCGAAGCGCAGCAAGCCCCTGTCCGGTGGGGGGGCCTGGGCCCTGAAGAGCTTCAAGCAAGAGCATTAAATGAGATCACACAAAAACTTCATTGCGCGCAATTGGAAATTTTGTTCTGATCGAGTGAGAGCGATCATACCCACCCTTCACAGCATGTCTGCTTCCCGGCCCTCGTACCTCTCTATCTCAGCAGTTTTTCTTCCTCAAAGCTGAAGTCGTTCCTATAGTTGGTTGGCCATCAAGGCCGGAACTCAAGCTCTGTGACCAACATGGTCAGTGAGCTAACGCCCCAGTGAATCCTGAGGTTCAACGTATGCAGCAATCCCACTTCCACTTTGTGAACAATCACTCATCATAATTTTTGGGCTTCGACAAAAAGGACTTCTGACACTCTTGCAGGCGTCTCCTCCTCATCGCTGACAAGTTCACACTCATCGGGCAAAGGTGCTTCCCAAGAAGCTGTGTCTGACAAGTCACTGTTTGGTGTGTTTGCAAGGCTCCGAGGACTACATTTCGTAGCGGTCGCCCGGTTCCAGTGCGTCAAACAAAAGTAGGTCATAATGCATGCACTCATCAACTGAACGCCAAAAAGGATCACTGGGCTGGAAAGATCAAACGAGGGCCGCTGAAAGAAGAACCCCCCCGCTCTGAAGGAAACCACTGGCGAGAGCTCCACTGCGATTGCCAAGATGCAAGAGAAACCTGCGAGCTCAGGCCCAGACTTGGTCCGCCACAATGGCGGTGAGTGACAAAGTTTCCAAATCCATGGTCACACGGCCATCGGTGAGTGAGGGTACCGGTAACTGTCCTAGGTATCACGGAGCAATTTCAAGACCTGAGGGCGCTCACCATCGAGAGGAATACCCCAATGCGCCCAGACGGGGTTGCTCCACCGGGGAACAAAGGTGACCACAGACGAATCAAACTGAATTTAGATTTTGCCACTGCCATGAAGAGAACCCCAAATTCGTCCTGCCTGGTAGACTCCATCCAGTTGGAGTTCTTCAAGTGACAACTGAGCGCTTGGCATGGAAAGAGTCACGGAGGTGCAAGCTGCGATGAGTTGCTGACGGAGGTTCTCCTCCAAACGCGGGATCAAAGTCAGGGACTGGGGTGTCTCGAGCCACTGGCTGAGAATGTCGGTTTCAGCCACCAGCACTTGCCCACTGCAGCGACGAGCGTGCAAGGATGTCAGGTCGACTCCTCTCCAAAGGTGTTGGCTGGTGGCCATGCCGCTTGAAGCCACTGAAAGCGCCAGCTCTGTGGCTGAGGGCGCCATGCCACCGCGGAGGTTTGCTCTGACAAATCTAAATGCCGAGGCCATTTGTGTCCTGGCCACACTAGATGCGTACAGGTTCCAAATCAAATCTGCTCGCATGTCTTCTGTCATTGGTGGCAGCTGAAGTGCCATCACGAAACTCCACAGCGGACGCAAACAGTGAAGGAGACCTTGTCTCTGTTGTTCCAGGGACCCATTTGTTTCACCGATTCTAATCCGGTTCCTGACTAACAGAAGTGTCTCGTCCAATGACTGCGGATCAGTCGCTGCATGTCCGCCAACCTGATGGATGGCCTGGAGAGCATCCGCCAGACTCTGCTGGGAGATCCGTGCCATGGCAGCCAGCCTGCCACCCTGTTCTAAACTCGCCCTCTCTCATGGCGACAAAATAAAAATATTTGACCCGGAAGAGCTTCAAGAAAGAGCATTAAATGAGAGCACACAAAAACTTCATTGCTTGCAATTGTTCACGACAAAAAAATGCGAGGAAAGAAAGGAAATGCGTAAAGGGAAGAGAAAGGAAGAAAAGTAAGTACAGAAGGAGAGGGCTTTGCCGAACGATACAAGTTCACAGTTGTTTGACCCACTCCGAAGTCACCCATCAGCCCCACTTACAAGGGAGAGGTCAACAAAATAGATTGAACTGCCCTACACGTGACAATTCACATAGGTTCGAAGATAGGGGAGCCCTGTCTGATGAAGTCTTTGTGTCTTTTTGCATAGAAGTAGAAGTGAATATGTCCATTGAACAAGGTGGCTCGGCCACCTTGAACAAGCCTATGCTACCTACAAGTAGCCCGAGCCTTCGTGGCAGACCCTAAAAGCACGCTGAAAGAGGGTGTGTAGTGTCAGAATTGGAGATGTTGTGGCCCTTTCTGCCTCTCGATCAGCCCCGTCATATAGAATTTGCCGACATGTGCCAAGAAACGTTCCAAAATGGGAGTGTGTGCGTGTCTTTGTTGAGTGTATCTTTCTCGGTGGGTTGTTGTGGCATCTGTCGTCAACGTCATCGACACATGTCATGTTGTGCTCCTCCACCATACGATGAATGTCAGCAACCAAGGAGCAGCAAGTTGCTTCGAAAGCTGGAAGAACGTCGTTTCTGTACCTGGCTCCGTGAAGTGCTAGGACCAGGGCCGTGGCCCGAGACCACAGCTGACGTTCAATTGTAGCAAGAAGACTTCAAGAGAAGGCCGGTTGAATATGCTGGTTTGGGTTCAGACTTCAGACCAAGACTCTGCAGATATTGAAGTATGGGGTTGACCCATGCTAGGTTCATAGCTAATGTTCAACAATATGATAAAACCAAAAAAACAGAAAGGTCTTAGGCAGGAAGGCTACTACAAGGCTACGTGGCATGGCCACACGTCTTGGCCTTCTCGTACCTTTCTACCCCTGATTGCCTCTTACAAGGCATGGTCCCGAACCGTCTGGGCATTGGAACAGGATAGCGTTCCTCGCAAAACCTGAAATGTTGGTCACCCTTCGGTCATGCTGTGCCTTTTTGGTGGCAACTCCGACGGGAGCAGCGGGCGGTTCCCGTTGATCCTGACATTGGCCACTCCGTCCAAGTCTTAAACATGAGCAGATCACCGAAAAAGAAAGAGAGAGAGAGAGAGGCCAACCTACTAGCGATGGCCTCCAACCTAAAACCGATGGCCTCCAACTTTATTAATTGATTGATTGAGAGAGAGAGAGAAGGGAAAAGCAAATGGTTGGCCAGGTGCCAAGTTAACAAGGTGGCTCGATGAGAGACCTTAAAGATGTTAGGATTTCTATTCCCATCAAGGATTGCAGTTGGCTGGGGATTTGGTGCAAGAGTACCGAGAAGACACAAAAACATAAAAGTACTCTCACTCCACTGCTTAGTATCAATTAGCCGCACACCGGTTTCAATGGGCAGGTCTAGCATGGTGGTGCAAACACAGTCGAGAAAGGCCTCTGATGAAATCTTGTGCAAGCAACGTGCCAAATACACGTAAATAAAATTGTCTGGCAGGGTTCTTTATCAAGCTACATGAAGAAAAGTTTTCTTCACACCAGACTTCATCAACTCAACACCGGCCTTTGCCATGGGCGTTTTCACGGTGACCACATCGGACAAATGCTTGCCAGGTGCTGCCTCGGGAAATCACGGTGATTTTGACCTGTTTTTTGAACGTTTCCCGATGTTTCCATCCTGCATGGGTGGTCGTTTGTCAGTGGCGAGCCGCCCTGAAGCACAAATTTATTGGGGGTCGAATCAAGGAGAAACACTCAGAATCACTCCAAGGGTCCAAGGGAAGATTATTTTCAAATGTGAACCTAGGAATCACAAATGAGAAAAACTTGTTCTTGCTCTTGCCAACATATTTGTAAGGAAATTCGTTCCAAAAGACAACACGTACCCAACATTCTTATTGCACGTACCCAACATAAGACATGAGCAGCCATCAATTAGGTGTGTTCATTCACATCATCTAAGTCCACTTCTAAGCCCAGGGGCCCAATCCCCCTCCAATTTGAGTACCAAACCTGGTTCTTTCAGACTCACAAGCAACGGATTGAAAAGTCTCCTCTCATATCTCTCTCTCTCTCTCTCTCCCTCCACCAAGCAGCAGCCACAGCAAAGACTTGCCCTCCCTCGGCCAAAAGCACAGGCGCCTCTTCGACAACCGCGACAAGAATCTTCGACGATCCAAAGCTAGGGACCTAGTGGTTCAACAGAAATATGTTGCAGGTAGCCCTCTGATAATCTATTGTCGAAGCTTGGTGAAGAAGCTTCCAAAATAGTGAAAGCGAAGGGGACAACTAGGGCCGCAATAACCAGCTGTGTCACAGCCAAGCATGGTGTGCGCTTGAAGCCGAACGAGATCGGTTGAGTTGTATATGCATCTGCTGTACATCACAAATCACCAAGTTACACTTCATCACAAACAAACCACGTCGCACTGCACCACGTTGTTACATTGCCATCTCACACTTCACCACCCCACAAATCACCACCTCACACCATTCATGTCATTGCATACGCCACATCACAAGATAACAAACAAGATCACCGTCACCGCATGGCAAATCACAAGATCCACAGGATGACATCACACGTCCTCGCATCGCTGCATGCCAACGCAAAACAGTCCCATATGCATACACATATTAAAGTTCCGCCCCGCCCCCCCTGCCCATTGGAGCTCATCGTGATGGCACAGGATGGAATTCGCTTTTGAAACTGCCGGAAGCAACTCTTGACCACAGAAGTATGATTGGACTTCAATCTCTGAGCTACCGTGAGCTACCAGTTGATTGGACCGAAAAGGCCTGTGCTTGAGTCGCCCGTTCGAAGCCCAAGGCCCAAAGGAGGTCGCGTTGGGATGGAAATTCTCAAACATATTCCATGGCGGTTGCAAGTGCCTGTACACACTCCCTTTCAGATGGGTCCTCATCATGTACAGAACTATGGAGAACTATATATCATACTGTATATCAACCTGATTTTAAATCTGACACACCACGGGCTGGCTGTCTCACGTGGGTGCCGCAGAAGCCGCAGAAGCTGGAAGCCGCCGGAGCCCGCCTCGCTCGCGCGCATGGTGCTCGCGGATCCCACGCGCGGCAGCGAGCCGTCCACGGTGAACAGCACGGCGCTGGCCGGGGCGATGGGCCTGGTGCCGTCGGGGATCCGTCACGGAGACGAAATGGGTCGAAACGGGATGGTCGAAATCGAAGAGGAGAAGGAGAAGGTGAGAAGGGGAGAGTCTGGAAAGCGAGTCACACCAACTACTTGGTACGGATGGTACCGAAGGACGGTGGGTGATGAATGGACCTCAAGGTGATGGAAGATACCCTGCAAGTTCAACGGCTATAGGCTATAGGCAATCAGCTTTGCAGCTCGGATAGATTCCAGATGTTAGATGCCTGCAAGTCTCCGCAGATCCCGCAAGAGTGGGACAAATTCTCTGGCTCAAGTGTGCCTCATTGTTGCAAATACAACAATTTGTACAAGTAGTTCCCCAAAAGGTCTGGAGGTTTGCACGCTGGCCTGCCTTTTCAACTGATTTGTGTTTGGGGTAAGAGCCTTCATGATTGGAGTACGCTCCCTCCGATGCCACCCCCGCTCCCTCCTGCCTCAGCTGCACTGCCCAAGCAGCGCCCGGCACACCGCTGCTCCGTTCCAGGAGGGCCTGTGGGGGCGGGACCCGCTTCAGGCCTGAAGCCAAGGCCATGGCTTTCGGCATCTCTTCCTCGGTGGGTGGGAGGTGAGGCGATGTTTGAGGGAGGTTCTTGTGTCTGGTGTTGGTAAGGAAGAATAACTATTTAAAATATTTTAAAATTATTTACAAAACATCCCCACACACCCTCCATCCCTGTTCTATTTCTCAAACCACTTCTTCAAACCTCTCCGTTTCGCTCAACGTTCGGCCGAACCAACGGCCAAGGTCGAACCCTCCCGGTTGCCCGGTCTCGCCTCCAAGCTGGGCCATGGCAGCGTGAAGCCTTTCGGAAGGTGGTGCGCGGCCGGCAGCCCGGTGCGTGCGTCCAAGGGGAAGTTGGCCGGCGCTGCCAGGCGCAAGCGCTGGGCGAAGTGACAGATCTCCTCCTTTGCAGCGCAAGGAAGTGGGCTCTTTCATCGTCTGTGCATGACACTCTGTGTGCACCTTGGTGGACACCAAACTTAGCTTGTGTTGGCGAAGAGACATCGCCGTCCAGTTGGAGGGTGATGGTCACCTATGAAAAAGCAAAAACAACTCTCTTCAGTCTACTCAAAGCATGCCAGATCCACACATCACCCATCCTCTTCTTTTAGCCTCCACTTCATCCTCCCTGACTCCATCGGCAAGTTCCACAGGTCCCACCCGATGTCCCACCGGAGGTCTCCAGTGGAGCTCCATCGCAAGTCTTCGCTTCGACTCTGCGCTGACAAAGCTGGCGACCCCGATGCGCCAAGTCCTGGAGCTGAGGTACAGGACGACGGAGTTGAGGTTCGGAACGTTTTCTCTTTTAGCCCGCTCGCTCTCCCCTCCTCCCCACTTAATTAAGTAGGCGCCTACTTAATTAAGTTAGGGAGAGGTAGCTAGTACCTTACTTAACCTGCTAGCATGGACGCAGGATAGCTCGCGCTTCTTCAAGGAAGCTCCCCCTGCGTGAGGGGCAAGCTTCCTTGAAGAAGCGCTCGCACGATTCATGGGATTCCTAGATTTTTAGGGACACTTAACCTTTCCAGTCTTCCTTTATCCGAGCCCATTTCCCACATTCCATACCATGCACCGGTTGCAAGACATAATCAGCCGAGTTAAGCAGCGCATCTGATGTTTCATTGTTCTCACCGAGTGAACCCTTTTTTTTGGACAAGATCTGGACGACTGCAGTTTTTGGCACATCTGTTGGTTCCAACTGATCAGCTCTCAGCACCAGATCGCTTCGCACACCTCCAACTCTTCAAAGACCGGCAGCAGCGCATCCAAGCGACGCTTCTTCTCTGCCGACATCGATGGAATCTCCGCTGCTTTGCAGGGGTCAACAAAAACACCCCCCCAAACGTAAGAAACGATTTTGACGCATTAGCATCGTTTGACCTTTGCAAAATTGTCATGGTGCTTGCTACCCGCTGTGATCGAAAATGCACCGGATCTCTCTGCCAGCGGTTCTTTTGGAGACCATTATGCAAGCATGCCTGAGATTACAACAATGTCTTTCAGGCCCTCCGTGTCAAACCTCGCGTTGGGATTGCTCAAGCTTTAACCCCCACGTCATCTCTGAATGCCTTGCACCTGAGTCACCTGAGGCTGAAAACATGAACAGCTTGCACCCGCCATACATGCACCTACCCTCCGAGGCCTCAAGGAACAAGGCGCTGACATGTGACATATGCATTAATAATTATTGATATTGATATTGTAATTTAATGCAATTTATATGTCTGTCACATACAAATCCACCGTTTTGCCCCACTACAGTTGCAAATGCGGAATCGCAGGCTTCCCCAGGCTTCCCCGCCTCGGACCTCTCGTCCCACCCGTTGCCCCCTCGCGCCATTTCGACCCACGCAGGGTCCGCCGCAGCGTTTCGATGGCCCAAGGCCTCGGTGGAGTCTCTTGAGGTCGTCTGGGGAGACTCTGCCTTACTGCTAGGAACAAGAAGCTATTAGGAACAAGTGCATCGCTTCTAGTAACAGGTGCCTTACTACTAGGAACAAGAAGCTATTAGCTTATTGTTTCTACTAGCTTCTTGTTACTACTAGTAAGGCACTTGTTACTATTAGCGATGCACTTGTTACTACTAGGTACAGGCCCTGCAAACGACCATCTAGCTGTTTCTTGACCCAAAGAGTAAGTCGGTCGAGCACAAGGGATATACTTCCATTCAGGAAGTTACAAGGCCTCGTATGTGAGCCATGTGAGCCCAAGTTTGAAGAAACAACGTGGAAGGCTCATCAGTAGTTTTCTACTGCCCTCTTGGCCCGTTCCTCCAAATGTTTTGCAGTATCATTTGCAGCTCGAGGTACATGGCCCAGAAATGGCGACTTCCTTGAAAGCCAAGTTCCCATCCTTGTCATGTGGGTCATTCCGGCACCCCTCAACTCATCGGCAGTATCGCATGGAAGGTGTGGACAAGGTTACACCACCGATGGTGGGGGAAGTGACACATCTGGTCGTGAATGGCTTGGGTGCAAGAAGAGTTCAAAGGATGAAATCTGACGCATATACTGCGGGAGAGAAGTGGGAAGTGGATAAGTTTGCTTCCCGCAATCTTTTCGGATCAATGGCCAAAACATATACAAGAAACAAGAGGCAACGTACGGCAACGTTAAAGGGGGCCTTACATTTCTGGGTTCGTCTCTTTCTTTTTCGTTTGATGCCCTCTCCTTATTGAGGATTGACCCATCTTTCTGTCGAGGATCGTATGAAGTCCATCACACAGAGGTCAAAGTGCTCTTGTAGCTTCTCACGAGTGTAGCTGGCTTCCGGCAGCTTCTCTAAGAGCTTCGAGTAGTAATAGCTTAGAAGATCCTGGGAGCACAACTCAAGGAGTTATATAACAAGGTGCATCGCTACTAGTAGCAAGAAGCTACTAGTAGCTAAGTGCATTACTACTAGTAACAAGAAGCTACTAGTAACAAGGTGCATCGCTACTAGTAAAATGAATAAATCAACCTGGGTGGCAGAGCCTACCAGCCCCTACGGACAAAGAGATACAGACCTGTCTTCTTGTTTCACGTTCTGGAGGACAAATTCCAAGAGCACAGCATGTTTCAAGTTTCAAGAGCACAGTCAATCGCAAGATCGGGCAGCGGATTCGGGCGCATCCCACCGGAGAATATGTACAGATTGATGTTCAAGAAGTAGATTCAATTGTAAAAGGACATCTTTGCAAGCTCCTGTGACTCTCTGGTATCTCAGGATTTCTTACAGCAATTGGAGGTGAAATCTAACGCTGAATCTGGGAAACAATTCCTGCTTCCACGCCCTTGAGTCCTGCACTACATTGCTGGCGATCTGGTCCCACAAAAGGTAGGCCACGTCGCAGGCGCCATAGCCTGCAAAAGCGACCGGCGGAATGCTTTCGTGCAGCGGTTTACCGAGCATCCGCAGTGGGCCATGTCATTCAATCCATAAACAGCACACTTCCCGATTCTGCTTTTGGCACGATTTCTCCCTATCCTTAGTCCTTTCAGCCAGCTGGCCACACTACCAAGGAATGCAGAAAACTCTCCACAAAGCTGGCCTTCCCCAACCCAGCCAAAGTCCAGAGCTGCACACTCCACATGCCCAGAGCTGGCATTGCAAAGTATATTCTCAGGCTTCGCATCTCCATGCACCTGCAACTGCTGCAACTGCATGCAGCAGGGGGCCACTCATATGAGGTCGTTGAAACACCACACAACCAGCGGGACCACTCTTTCTACGTCAAAAAGCATAGGAGATCTGGATGTGCTCTTTTGATTTGTGCCCTTAGGCCATTTTGCAACAACCCTCACTAGCTTCGGACATACTTCAAAGCGTTTATATAGTTTCGCGTGAGCTACGGTTAAAAACTCCTGGTATGAGGATGCTCAGTCTCATCGGTGGCACTCTCCTTGAATTCTTGCCACAGTCAAAAAGGATGCATTCAACACATGCGGCTTGCCAAAATGTCATCTGTAGTGGATCAAACTTTCAGAGTCCGTCTCCAGTAACCCAACACCCTGAGTACATAGGAGTAGCCGAACATCTTAGACAACAGACTTGCGGCGTCCGCAATCCTGAGGATTCTGCCAAGGTCCGAAAGCGGGATCCTTCAGACAGGCTCTCATTGAGTTCACCACCCTGGGATGGTGGAATGGGGCATGAGGGTTTACCAAAGGATGCTGAAAGGCCTGACCAGTTTACGGTTACATGGGAATTGTGGGGGATGTGTATGAAAGTTGCACATGAAAGTTGGTCGCCCGGAGCAAATACTGGAGAACTTGCCGCACTTGTACAAACACTGAGTGTATGACAAGTGGTGTCCAACATCTTCTCAGGCACAGCAAAGCCAATTCGTTTGCCCCTAATAAAATGCGGAGCCCTTGGTAAAAGAATCAAATTCTCACAGCATGCCCAACAATGAGATGTCACATTCAGCTGCAGCATCAGGTGCTATCTGCATGTCCAAACAGAAAGTAGCAAAAAGTAGCAAGCTTGGAGACCCAAGTGGTCCAAGAACCGTGAAAATCGAATGTTGTTCAACCCAAAAAGAATAAAGCTCCAACCTCTATGGAAAAGGAAACCAAACCCATATTGTGCCAAGGTTCCTAGATTCCATTGGATTCCCCTGCATTGCTGGATCACTTAGGCCTAGTGTCCAAGCGCGCATCCCACAGTGGTGCCATCTGCCGCACTTGCGCCACTTCCGTGGAGCTCAAGTAGCGGTTGCTAAAGCCCTCCGGGAGCGCTGCTAATTGCAACCTGACCGTTTGCTTGGTGCCAGGTCAAACACCAAACTCGACCTGCCAAACCTGTTCCCAAAACAGAAGCAGAATGTGTTGTAATCAGAATTTATAGTATTTTTCATAAGCAAATCAAGCCACAAAAATCCTCTGCGGTGTTTCTAGGGGTGTCTGACAAAAGAAGAGCGGGGGGGGTTGCCCAGGCTTTACCCACCACCACGAACACTTCATCACTAGTCACTAGCTCTGCTTTGACGAAAGGCCGGCCTGAAAGACCCTTTGATCCGAGCTGCTTTCCCAAGTGATCCAAAATCCAATAGCTGCCTCGTGGCCACAACCCCCGCTGCGCCGCCTTTGGGCGCCTCAATGCGAAGAGTCTGGAGGGGGTATCAAAATCGCAGACTAACCTGGATCTGGACCTGTTCTTTGATCAGCCTGCAAAAGAAGGGAGGGAGGAAGGCAAGAAGGGCAGGAAGGGCAGGGAGGCAGGGTCGAAGGATTGAGTTGCTTGCTCAGTTTCTTGGTTGCTTGCTTGCCTGGGTTGGTCAGTTGGTGGGTTGGTAGCCGAACTTCTGGACCAGTCTGGTTGGTGCTTGGTCATGATGCCCTCAAAATCACTGTCTTCACAGTACTAAAAAGCCCAAACAAGGACATTTCTGGCTGAAGAAATTCCGTGATTATACAGTAAGCCCTTGAGCAAGAACCCTGTGTTGTCGCAACTATTCGAACAGAGTCTCGTGGATCCGCATCCTCAATAATATACGGTACGAGTACGAGTAGCTAAAGATGTTCACTTCATCGGATATCAAGAGCCGCTGGTTTGAAGAAAGAAGTGCATGGGCAAGGCTCTCCCAGAATAGGGCATGAAAACCGGCCAGCCATCTGGTCGAGATCCATGTTCGTCAGTTCGCATGTATGCGCATCTTCACATGCAAAGGAGTTTGAAAATCACCAAAGACTCAAGAGAAGTCTATTCACGGGAAGAAAACAGTTTCCGCTACCAATAAGACTCATAAGACACCATTTGCATCCATTTGCCATTAATCGCCAGAGGCTTGCCAAAAAATGAAAATTGAACACACAATCATATAGTTGGAGACCACTGCTATTGGGTTGGAGGCATCAACAACCGTACCCCGCTGCTCAACGCAGCGCGCGTCTCCTCTGAACTCATACGTCGGACTTGGCCATTGGCACCGCGAGGGAAGCGCTGGCTGAGATCCTTCCGGTGAATAAGAAAGGGCTAAAGACCGTGAACCTTGTCTCACTTCCCCTTTGTTGGTTGAAGAGGCTTGCAGGAAGCCATGGTACGGTACTGCTAAGCTGCAGGTCAAACACTCACACCATACTCCCACACAAAATCCCCCCAATCCGGTGAGACATGACATGACATAACCCTGGTTGGTCATCTGCAGTGGATCCTGTTGGATCCTCTTTCCACATCGTGACGTGGAGTCTCGCGGCGAATGCGTTCTTCGTCTTCGTCCGCTTCGTCCTCTCTCGCCCTCTCTCGTCCTCAGCACTCCTTTGCAAACTTGACCGCAGGGTCCTCCAAATGCAGGGTCAGAGACCATTGAGGCTCCTCCGGCATTGGCATCTCCAAATGAAGTAAGCCTGGAGCGGGCACTCATGAGGCCTGCATGGGGGATTAAGCCAAGCAGCCAGGTCTGTCTGACACCAAGACGTGACCGGAAGTCCCCTCTGTCTCTAGAAGTCACATCAAACATCCCAAATCGATCATCAGTTGTCATCCAGATATGTTTTTTTTGCTCAAAGGTCCCATTTCTTTCGCTTCGACCGAACCAAACCCCTCATCACCCGTCGCGCACTTGGCACTGCCAGTTCCGCAGCCAAGAGCTCGGCGGAGAGGTTCGCATAGGCTGCAGCCTGCAGAAGGACGGTGACTGCGACCACCCCAAAAGTGCGCGAAGGGGCAAGGGTAAGGGTCTGCCTCTAAGGTTGTGGAAATGTATGAGGACATCAGGGGATTGTGACCTGGAGGGGATTTGAATAGTCTACCTCAGCAAAAGCTTGCAGTCTCAGATTTCGGAATCGCATTAGTAGTAAGGCATGTATTCGCAGCTGTTCCCCAAATTGGCTCTTGGCAACAGGGGTCTTTCGGGCTGGGCTCCAAATATATATCAATCAATCTCCAGCCAACCCCCGCATCTCCACCCAAGAGTATGTCAGGGGTCGGGGCTCGTTGTGAGCCGATCGAAGAGAAAAAAGAACTGATCTGTTCCCCTTTTGCCTCCACTTCAAAGCCCTTCAGAAAGCGCCGGTGTTCGGCCAACCGCATCTCGGACATGTTGTCCTGTGGAAGAGTTTGAAGGCCCTCAAAGGCCCTTGAAGGCCTTTGGGGATTTGGGAGCCCACTTCTGAGCTACAGGAACCAAAGCCAAGTCCAACGTCTTTGACGTAATTGTGATATATGTTGGCATGTTTCAGTCTTCTGAGATGTCAATTTGATGTCGGAGCCCCTAGTAGCCTCCTTGCTCCTAGTAGCGTCCTTGCTCCTAGTAGTAAGGCCAGGAACCCCTAGTAGCGTCCTTGCTCCTAGTAGCGATGCCAGGAGCCCCTAGTAGCTTCTTGTTACTAGTAGCTTCAATCACTGCTTCATTTGGATCTTCCGATCTTATCCGATCTTCCGATGTCTTTGGGCCATCCAAGAAGTGGGCCTCGCTGACGGTGGGTCTGATCTGCTTGGCAATGATCTCCTGGGCTCTTCGGACAGCTGACAGCATCCCACGGGAAAAGGCGTTAGGAGTTTCACATCTGCTTCCACCTATCAGACCAAATGTTCGATCAACACTGATCAACCAACTTCAAAGGCCTTGCTGTGGCTTGCCGTATGCCGTATGCCTTGGTTTCTATGGCCCACACTCAATATCACGTGCCCTTCACACAGCCAAGCAACGTTTGGCCGCTGGCCTTCCATGTGAAGTCGCACCTGGGATCCGTACGGATTTTCAGGGCTGATCCTGTGAGCACGTCAACATCGCTGTCCACATGTCTCAACACACCGGTGACTACCGACTTGTTCTTTCGTGAGAAAAGGGGTTGGCAGATTATCTCTGTGATCAGTGGAGCTGCAAATCCCAAAATGCAAGCTTTTGGGTCCAGCCCCCGCACTTCTGGATTTACAATTGAGAAGAACTCAATCCAAACATACCCAAACCGATTCCTTGCTCTTACCAAACACTACTTTATTTATCTATCTTTATCTGTATTCTTCTTCTCCATCGCCCTCTCAAGAGTTTAGCCGTTAGCTAAAGGCGAGCACACAACCCAATATCTGTATTATTCATTTCATTTGCAGTCTGAAAATCCCACTTCTTTCGTCCAAGTCTCCAAGCTTCCATAGTTTCCACCTTCTCCAGTAGATGCCAAGATCTCTGCCAGTGGCTCCGTGAAAATGGTAGCTGATCTCGGTGCTAAAACACGACGCTATCTTGGGAAAAAAATAAACATTGGGACGACATCAATCTGCGAAAACACAACGCCCTACGCGAAATCCTGCTCTCGACAAAAACACTCGATTCTTCCAAATCGTCGATTTGGGTGAAGACGTGGATGAAGAGGTGCGGTTTTGGGCTGCAGAGTTTGTGGTCTCCAAGCGGCATTCCACCCGAAGAGCAAGTAACGAGCCACCAAACCACACACAAAAAGATATCGACTTTGGGTTTCCATAGATCTCCGCAATTGGTTGATCACCCGAATCATGAGCAATCAGGTCCTCCCCCATCTTGGACCCCACCAAGAGCAAGAATGCTCTCTTGTAGGCCTTAGGTCCTCTTTAGGTCTTGGACTTGATTGTTTTCGCTGCTTAGAATGGACTTGATTTTTCTTGGTTTCTTGTGTTTCCTCCTACTTCACCCTTCTTCTAACCGTGTTCGCTGGTGACTGGGCCTTCGACAGGACTCAGCTGCACACGCAGCCACGACTGCACCCATTGCATGGCAGTCTCCGAAAACGTCCAGGTGCGGTTCTTGTGCAGGTGAGTGAATCTCTTGTTTTGTTGAAACTGGGCCTCAAAGCAGGTGGTAAAAGTGGAAAGTATGCCTAGCAGCACTTGCTAGCTGCTAGCTGCTAGCAGTGCTGCTTGTGTGGGAGCAGGTGCTGAGGCTTGTCACCTTTCAATAGCTACATGATCATGCTACATGCATATATATATATAATACATCAGATACTCAAGCTTTCAAGCTGCAGCCCAGATCGGGACATCCAACATGTCAAACTCATCTCATCTCACCAGTCGTCTTGTGACATTCATCGCAGTGATTCTCCAAATGCCATGTAACCAGAGAGTCTCTACAATATTGGAACTTAAAGGCACCAAGGTGCCGCTCTGTTTCGATCAAATGTGTTGCCTGATTCTTTGTTGACGGCATCCGGACCACCTGCAGGGTCAGCTCTGGATCCAAGGACACGGCTGCTTTTTCTGCCAAAGGGAGCTGGAACTTTTCGAAACATGGCCAGGGCAAAGACACGGCCCGTTCCAGGTGGCAGGGCCAGTCCGCTGCCAGGGGAGGGAGTAGTCACTGGAAATCATCTGATGAATGTGTTATTATATAATGGGTTTGCTCTGCAGGAAAGGTCTATGTCACCCCTCCAGAAAATGATGGTCAGAAATTCTTGACCAATGATGTTGAGGATCTCGTTTCATTCCTCAGGGCAGCCTCATGCTCCTCAGTTCCGCCACGCGCTGAAGAACTCCGAGTTTGGGAATGCATTGGACGAAACAGTAGGACAGCATGAAGGGCACGCTGTGATCTGGCGGAATTGCCCATGCACTCACGCAGCAGCAATTTTGGTCTTGTTGCTTGCAGCAAACGCCTGAGCAGACACGCGGAACGTGGTTCGGGAACGATGAGGCCACGAAAAAAATGTGTCTTTTCGCACGAAATCTGACTGCTTTCGCAAAGAACAGGTTCCTTCCGCTCTTCCTCAAAGGCAAGTTTAGACTCTTTAGACTATACCTCCAAAGTAGCTCATGCAATCTGCAGAGGTCCAGTCCTTCTACTTTAAGGTCCCGCACCCCTAACGCCAAGATACTGACGTCCACACAGCGCAAGTCGCAGCAAATACAGCGCAAAGCAGGGGTTTTAGTCTTGCAACAGCAGTCACACTCCAAGCCTGAGTGGAAGGCGTTGCAGTTCCAGTGCCAGGTTGAGATTTCCCCGTTGCATTCAGTTGGATCGGAAATATTCAAGTAACAGGTGCCACGCTAGTAGTAACAGGTGCCTTACTAGTAGTAA